ACAGCAAAAGGGAAAGTCCTCTGACACCAGCACAAGGAAACCATTTTCCATGTGGAGCCATGCTGTGCAGGCAGGGCAGCTCTAAGCTGAGATTCCTGCCTCGACCGAAGTTGCGCTCTCACGTCTGAAGCTTGGGCCTACCTGAAAGCCGTGCTTGCCTCTCCAGCGGGGGCTCAGCTCCTGAGGCGGCATCTCGATGACGCACACGAGGTCTCCCACCTGCAAGAGATTGCAACGTCAATCCCAGCTTCGGCACGGCTGGGAGGAAAGCGCAGCTCAAATGACTGCATTCTTCTGCACTGCCCAATATCGTCAAGCTTGAGAGCCATTGCACCAGTGCAGCTCTTCAGGCATTTGCAGTCGTACAACTGAACGTGCAAGTAGAAGAGTCACTCCAATACACAACATACAGAATTCAGCTGTTCAGTATGAAATGGTTCTCAGAAGCAGCAGGCTCTTTGCCAAAGGGAGAGCTCCAATTAAACCGCAGGCATAAGTCAGCCAAACAGATCCTGAACAGATCTGCACACTCCATACACTGCTCTGCCATTGCTCAGAGACCAGGCTACCACACCGGGCAGTAGCTCTTGGATCACAAGATTCCAATGCCAAATAGAGCCATAGTTCAGAGATGGCTGAACTCCTCCCTGCATCCAACCCAGTGCAAGTCTAATCTGGAGCCGCACCTTCTGAGCTTCACCTCACCAAACATTCGGAAGGTGTCTGAGAATATTCCTGATAGCTTCACACGTTATACTCTTCTGTACAGGACAACAAGGAACGCCCTTAACTGCTTACCTCCAAGGAGAGTTCACCCGGTGCCTGGGCAACGTATCTCTTAATAACGTGGGCAGCAGCAATAGCTGGGATATTAAGAGATGACTCCTCACGGACCAGCAGGGGCTTCCCGTTGTTCTCAGCCTGAAACAGAGAGCACAGGCCACGGTGAGGAGCTGAGGGCAAACGAGGAGGATTTCAGGCTGAGGAGCATGTCAGCAGAGAAAGCTGCAGGAAGTGCACTCCGTCCTTATCATGGGCACACAAGAAGGAACGGCAAGGCTAAGAACATGCCCGCAGCAAGGAAAGAAAGCCTTGAAGGCAGCTTTTCAGTGACACCGATAGAGCCGCAAGGATTCGCTCTCTTGAAAAGCAGGAGAGCACATCTGCAGCTCACTCTGCTGGCTCAAATCAGGGAACAAAGACCAATCAGAGCTCCACACTCTACCTCCATCCGTGTCATGCCAGGCTCACAGCTGATCTCGCTGCACGCGATGCCCATCACAGCAGGCACGACAAGCTGGAATGAAAAGAAACACGCTCATATTTTCTCTCTTCACACACCACACTATTGAGAGACTTCTTCAGAACTACCCTTGGCTATCCTCTGGCACAGGCGGGTGCTCTAGAAGCAACCACTCTGTTCACTCCGTTCAAATGGGACAGCCCATTAGGCAGCATTTGACCAAGCGGCTGTCCCTCTGCTAGCAGATGGGGACTGGCACAAAGCAGCAGATGCATTCGCCCAGGGCGCTCTGACAGCGCAGCAGCAGGGCAGTGAGAGGAATCATTGCTGCAGGTGCATCTGCTCCCCGGCCCCGGCTCCCAGCAGCCTCACCACCGGCACCTGCTGCAGCCCCGCACATCAAGGATTTCCTCTGCTTGCATCTCTGCTGTGCTCCCTACAGCTGCCGCGCACACTCTCACAGGCCAAGCGTGCGTGCTTGTGACCTTGGGTCACGCTGTGCAGCTCAGCACAAACTGGGCCTAGGACTCTTTGCCTAAGGGATTGCTTTCCTTCAGACCAGCTGGTCACAGCACCACACACAGCATCCTCCTGAGGGCGGAGCTGCAGGGGAAGGGAAAAAACCCACACGGGACCAGTGTCCCATCAACGCTGGGTGAGGCTGTGTTACCAAACATGGTGCGACACAGTGCTGGTCAACCACGTGGGGGGACAAAGCGTGGCACGTACCTGGCAGGAGATCAGAACAAGGTAGACAATTCCTTGAACTCGCAGCTGTTTCTTGTCACTTTGCTCTGTGCTTCCACGAGCGAAAGCTGCACCAAGGGAGCGGATAGAGGAGAGAGAAGGAACAGGTCTGTGAGCTTGCACAATGCAGCAAAGATGACAAGGGAAAAGCCACGGGACAAATGCCATCTTTGTGGATCGCTTGGGAATGCAGGTACTGGCTGAAAGTTACGTCTGATGGACAAGAGTAAGCAGTACGAGCTGCTAGGAGCTCCACCAGCCAGCAGTTTTCAACAGCTCACTGCCCACCCGTCCATCCCACGCTGTCTCAGCTTACCTACAAGATGCTGCACAAGACACAAGGGGTGAAACCGAAGGCACTCAGTCGCTGCACAAGGGCAACAAGCGAGCTACTCACGCAGAGCTCAAGCGCTCCAATGAAGGGACGCAGCACGCACTGCTCCTCCCCTCATTCCAGCCTCTTGTGACATCACTAAGGGCCACCAGGCTGCTCCGCCATGACGACAGGGTGGGGAGGCAAGACCATGTCACAGGACCAGAAGATGCCAACACCGCACCCAACATTCTAGAATCAGTGGGCCCTTGGAATTCTACCTCAGCCCAATCCTGCACAAGCTGCCATGCGGTTGTCATGACCACAGCGCAGGACCCAGCGCTTGCTCCTGTGCAGCCTCGTACGGCTGGCCTCAGGCCGTCCCTCTGCAGGGCCTTCCTGCCCTCGGGCAGATGGACATTGCTTCCCAACAGCGTACCTCGCAGCGCAGGGCCTATGTACAATCCACACTGCAGTCCTATCGATCTGTATCAAGCTATCTATACCCAGACACACAGTCACCACTACCATCTTCTTTCTGAGTCTTGAGGTACACCATTCAGCGGTTTCATTGCCATCAAACAACCCCACTGACGGCACACTGCTGACACAACGTCCTTGCTAACACAGCAGCAACTCCTGGCACCGACAGCTCCGGGTACAACAAGCACAGGGCTCTGCGTTGCTTTGGATGCAGTTGCAGCATGGATCTGAGGGCTTTGTGGAAGGGGATATATTGCAAATTGCACCGACGTTTTCAGACCATTTCTCTTTCGGCATGGTCCCAGCACCTGGCATGCTGATCATCATCCTGAATATACATTTTGTCAAAGTTCTACAACTAATGAAATAGTTCCTTACCAAACGCAATCTGATCACTCTTCTGGCCATATTTTGTTCCAGCTACCGCTTCCTGCGGGTGGCACCAATAGCGCTGCATCACCTATAGCTCTCTGCTCTTACAGTTCTCATGCTGTCTGGGCAGTCCTCGTGGCCTCAAAACTCTCTCATGCCACACGTGCCACATTCTGAGGCACAGAAGATATATCGCACTACTTCAAAACGCCTTTTTTTTTTTTTTAATACAATGATACTAGGGATAATCATCTGGAGCTAGAGCATTATAAAAAAATTCCCTTTAGTTCAACCATAAGTCTGCCCCATGGACTCCAGAAGAGCTCTAAGAATATGCAGCCTGGACATGGATGGCAGCTACCATAACAGTAAGCAATGAAAAATGAGGTGGTGAGCCATGCTGTGTCATTGCATCTGCGGGCAGGGATTCTCCTTGGACTGAGCAGAGTGCAGATGTCGCCTGAGAAAAGAACTTAGGATCATTCAGGAAAAGCAAATGAGTTGAGTAATTAATTGAAGAAACTCACGTTCTAAAGGTACTTAGAAGGAGAGAGTATTTCCCAACAGAATGGGTTTAACTGTCTATTCCCTGTTTTGCTAGACAGGTCTACTCTGTGTATGCTTAGACTGACCTGAGAGGGCATGCTTCAGCACACCCCACAATTTCCAGTTTCCACATCGTCCAGGCAGCGCAAGTGCGGTGTACGTCTCCCTTGGCACAGACATCAAGCTTTTCTTCCTGTGCAATCAACTAATTATGACGGGGGAAGGGGACAGTACAGGCCTCACAAGAGAAGAGCCTGGCGGAACGATTTTAGAGCTGGGAGTCAGGCAAATGACTCGGCTCAAGTGCACCTATACCAATGCACGCAGCATGAGCAACAAGCAGGAGGAACTGGAAGCCATTGTGCACCAGGCTAACTACGATCTAGCTGCTGTTACTGAAACATGGTGGGACTGCTCCCATGACTGGAGCGTTGAGATTGATGGCTATAAGCTCTGCAGAAGGGATAGACAAGGAAGGAAGCCAGAATATTCATCAATACTGAATTGATCCTGCAATTCAGGAACCTCACAAGCAACCTGAAATAAGCGTCTAAAAAAAAAAAAAAAAGAAAAGAAAAAGGAGAAAAAGGTAATCAGCATACCAGTAGCTGTTCTTCTTCAAACCATGGTTCCCAAGCATACTGCAATTGGACAAGCTATAGCTTATCACATCAAAAGCCATCTAGAAGATTCAGTTATTGGTACTGGCCATGTCGGCATTCGCTCACTGTAAGCATCTGCAGGACAAGTCCATGGACCGAATGACCTTGTGCACCCATCCTTCTGTCTCAGCTGCAAGAATAATCCTCACTCCCAGCCATTTCCAGTTTTCTTTCTTACAAAAGATGAAAGATATAAAGAAGCTCTTCATTCAAAAGTTACTTGATTATACAAACAACTAAATTCCAGCCTGCTTTAATCCAAAGTGCCATCTAGTTTGCATACAGAGAACTAGGGTGCATATAGGAAAGAACGCACGCACACTCTAGTTTTCAATGGCCAGAATATCATAATAAACACATAGAAAAACAGCCTTTACTCTGGAGGCTTGTATGGCAAAGCCAATTGTTTGGACCAGCTCATTAATATACTATATCTAGTTTGTCAATTCCAGCTACGTATTTTATATGTCATTATGATCAATGATTGTGGAAGCCCAAAGGGCAATCTCTCATTTTCAACAGACCTCCTTTTTGACTGAGATGGAATTTATTACATTTAAAATTCATCACTCCTCTTTGTTTGCAACACTGTCCACTGACAAACTCCTCAACACAATCAGCTCAAGTCTTCTACCTGAATTTCTGGGATGACTGTGACAAGTATTCCTTCACGATGCTCAGATGTGCACCGTCTCCCATGAGCATCTTGCTGGACGCAGCATGCTGCAGCATCTTTGCAACAAACCAAGGTTTCTTCGTTGATCTGCAGTCAGCTGCCCTCCAGCTGAAAGATCCATTAGGTCAAATGCATCCGGTGCCACCATGGCCGGATTCACGTAGCGGTGATAGAGTAAGTTGCCAACAATCTAGGACAAGTTGAGGAGAGAAAAAAACACGTGGAAAACCAATGGCACAGACCTCCACTGACTTTTACTGACACTACTCCGAGTGAGTTCTGACCAATTACTTTCCTGTGAGCTGTGGGCCCCGTTCCAGATGCAGGGTCTACTGCGCTGCCATTAATAAGCACATGCCGTCCCAAAGAATCTTAGTTTCACACTGCAACATAGATACATACACTAAATAAATGCACAACTGTGCATTTAATCCAGAAGTAAGAAACTCAGAAGTGCCGAAGATGAGCGGTATTTGACATTTCAAAAGAAGTCCAATTCACCAGCTAAGTGAGCAGCAATGAACGCCGAGGCCCCAAAGATAAAGACAGCCCGTTATCCACGTGCTCATCCATCTACTTCTAACCCGTATTGGACATTTGCCTGCAGTAATTCCCACAACAAAAAGGCATTGGCCCAGCACGCTGACATGCAGCAAAAGTTCCCACGCCACATGCTTCAGTATTTCCTGGAGTTTCACATCAATCTGCGCAGAGCCAAGTCACAGAATCTGGGCTTCTCCTGCTTCACGTGCGATTTGAATGCACAGAAGAGATCAGAGGTGTGAAGAAATGGCAAAAACAGAAAGAAGAAGCTTCGCCATTGCTAAGCTGCCCCAGAAATTAACTGCTTTCAGAGAGGTCATGGTTTTGACAGCGGTTTCAGCTCTTGCTCTACTATCCCAGGTGACGGCACATGGTCACAACAGACAAAACTGTTCACTACCAGTCATAAGAAACACATTTGTGAGAGAAATCATACTGATAATAGTAAAACATGTAGTAGGAAGACAAGAACAGTACACTGTAGGAGTAGTTTTAGGCCCTAATGCATCTACAGGCAGTCACCGCACGCAGCTGCAGTTCAGAGTGCGGCATGGGCCGTGACATTGTTTCCACAAGGATTAATAAAAACTGCAGCTTTCCACCTACATTTACAGATGGAAAAAATGAATTCACCTGCACAGAAAGAATCGATGCCTCAGAACGGGAAAGCACGGAACCAGAAGAGAGAAGAAAACGGCATTCAGATTGGGAATTACTTCGTAATGAAGCAGAGACAGAAAAGCTTAAAGAGACTGTGGCAAGTAATGTCAAAGCCACTCTTTGTTTTATTAAGAAGAAGAGCACTCACAGACAGAAAGACCTTCAAAATAACAAACGCCAGGACAATCCCAATGAAAGCCACAATGCTGTGCTCATTTGGAAGCATTTACTACTAACATCCTTTTCGTTCTCCAAAGGACGGAAATGTACAACACAAAACTGCCCACACCTCATGAAAAATGACACCATATACTTTGTTGCAGCTACTGTAATGCCCTAGAATATTGTAAGGGAAGTGAGAAGAGTAGAATTCTGCACACGGGCCTTTTCAACTTGGCACACTGTCTCTTTAAAAAAAGAGCAACTGACTCAGATAACACCAGCAAAACCAAGGTGCACCATTCAGCAGCAAGAGCATCCCAAAGCCAAGAAACCTAGGGGGCACAATGCCCAAGATATTAAAAGCAAAAGGAAAAGCAATAGGGTGACTTCTTCTGAACGCTGTATTATGTTCTCCTTTGACAAACATGTATCCAGCAATCCAAAGCACAGGGCAAAGTACTTTCTACCCATAACAACAAATAGCCTGTCTACTTAAACTGCAGCTTTGAAACTTCTCTGCACACGTACAGCCAACAAACAACACTGAGATGCATCTGCTGCAGTCAGCGTGGCAGACAATGATTCACAGAGCTGCTCAGCTCCTTACCTTCAGAAGCTCATCCTCGCCAGCATCAGGAAACTTGTCATGCCGGGAGTCTTTCAGTACCTTGGCGATGAAACGCATCCCGTAACTTCGAAGGAAAAAAAAGGCAAGTGAGAATTCCTCACGGATGAACCCACTATTAACTGCTGCAGGATAACGCGGTGACACACCAGACTTACGGGATTTGGTCAGCTGAACAACGATGGCAGACAGGAACTTGTCTGTCACTGCCTTCACATCTCGGGTTGAGGCATCCAGGTGCATCCTCACCTCACCGTGATTAAGAGCTTGTTCAGGTGTAACATCGTACGGCAACTTGCTATTTGGAAAAGTCAGATGTGAAGGTGAGCACTCCTCAGCCTAATATACTTTTGTCAGTGCCAGGCAGAATTGTTGGCTTGACACACAAACAGATCCACGCTCACCTGGCTGCAAAGAGCTGCACGCTTTCACTTTCATTACAATGCTAGCACTGAAAGAGCAAAGGACTTCTCACGTCCTCTGCTGTCCCTGCAGCAGTCGCTGGGAGAACAGGCCCAGCTAACTCTGAACCGTATCTTTCTGTACCACATGCAGACACGCTCTCTAGAGTCAAGAAGGTCACCTGCGATACGCAGTAGTACCTCAGGTCGCAAATAAATCAGTGAAAACACAAGCTGCACATTGCAGTGTTAAGATAGTAACTCACGCAGCGTGCTGCGCTGGGACAGTTGTCTTTTACTTCATAGCATTGCTTTTCCACCACTTCCCTTGAAGTGCCTTAAAAACAAAACAAATACAACCAACAACAGAATCCTCAACATCTGGTCAACATCAAGCACTGGAAGAAACACAGAACTCTGACTGGGGACGGATGGGAGCCCATCAAGACTTTATAGACACAGATTAAAGGGAGGACAGGGACAGATGACGTAGCGGGGGATCTACAGGCCAACCAACCAGGATGACCACGTGGATGAAACCTTCTCATGGGCAGACAGGAACAGCTGCATGCTGTGATTCTATGAACACGGCCTGTGTTGAGAAGGAGCACAATGCTCATCTCGTTCCAACCCCCCGCTGCGTGCAGGTTCACCAACCAGCAGCCCAGGCTGCCCAGAGCCACATCCAGCCAGGCCTTGAATGCCTCCAGGGATGGGTGTTGCCGAACAGGGTCGGCAGGGGCCCCTCGGCCCCTGCGAAACCATGACAACAAATGGCCTGAAGATAAGAAGGAAGAACAAGATAAACCAAATAAGGAGGAAACAGGACATTCCACATGTCCATTGGCCAGGAGACGACCCTGAGGCATTCCACCCTCGGGTAGTTGCTAATAGTAACCAGATAGGGAAGTTGTACGTGGAGTCAGAGGGGCATAGACGAAATTGTACAAGGCTATATAAGTTCCTGTCGTGATCAAATAAACGCCATTTTACCATACATCACATTGGTGTGCACCGAGGTAAATGGACAGACCGATGAGTCCCTAACGATTGCGAACACCTGTATGAGGTCTTTCGCAGGCGAAAGGCTTCATCTGGTGACCCCGACGTGATAGTTAGGGAATAGTGGTCGGCCACAGGCGGCGTGGCGTTCCTGCTCTCTTCCGTCTCCCTTGGGGAAGGAGACGATGACCCTAGTAGAGGGGGCTGCGGCTTAGGAGAGTGGAAGCTGGGTAGCGTCGGAGGGGGCTCTGCGGCCGGGAGCCTACTTAACCTGCCGAGGACCCAGGAAACCATCGGAAGAGGTGCCTGGTGGTTGTGTGATCCGTGGGAGAAGACGTCCGGCGGAGTGACTATGGAGGCCGTCATAAAGGTGATTTCGTCCGCGTGTAAGACCCATTGCGGGAAAAATTCTCCTTCTAAGAAGGAAATAGGGGCAATGTTGTCTCTTTTACAAAAGGAGGGACTGCTAACATCTCCCTCAGATTTGTATTCCCCGGGGTCCTGGGATCCCATCACCGCAGCGCTTTCCCAGCGGGTGATGGAACTCGGGAAGTCAGAAGAGTTGAGGACCTGGGGACTGGTTTTGAAGGCGCTGAAGGCAGTGCGGGAGGAACAGGTTACATCTGAGCAGGCGAAGTTTTTGTTGGGCTTGGGGGGAGGGAAGGTCTCTCCCACAGGTCCCACAGGGAAGCCAACCGCGGAGCCTCAGGCCGGCGAGGAGAAAGAGGGAATGGCTGCGCAGCAAGAAACGAAGACGGCGCCGGGAGAGGCGACCACGCCTCCTAAAACCGTTGAGGCGACCGCGCAAAAAACCGTTGGCACATCCTGTTATCTTTGCAAAACAGATATTGGCTGCAGCTGCGCCACTGCAGCCCCCTCCGCCCCTCCTCCTTATGTGGGGAGTGGCCTATATCCTTCTTTGAAGGGGTTGGGAGGGCCGGAGGGGGAGGGTGTAGTTATGTCACCGGCGGGGCGGGACAGTACGCCCCGAAGGGTGGAACGAGGGGCGGAGCCAGGATACCCTGGCTCAGCCCCCGGGCCAGCCCTGACTGACTGGGCGAGAATCAAGGAGGAGCTTGTAACGGCGGCCCCGTCCGTGGTGGTTATGCCTGTGGTGATAAAAACAGAGGGACCGGCTTGGACCCCTCTGGAGCCAAAACTGATTACGCGGTTGGCCGACACGGTCAGGACCAAGGGTTTACGATCCGCAATCACTATAGCAGAAGTGGAAGCTCTTATGTCTTCCCCGCTGCTGCCGCATGATGTCACAAATCTAATGAGGGTCATATTAGGTCCCGCACAATACGCTCTGTGGATGGATGCGTGGAGTGTCCAGCTACAGACGGTTATAGCGGCGGCCACCCGAGACCCTCGACATCCTGCGAATGGCCAGGGGCGGGGGGAACGGACCAACTTGGATCGTTTAAAGGGCCTGGCGGATGGGATGGCCGGGAATCCAGAGGGCCAGGCCGTGCTTTTGAGACCGGGGGAGTTGGTTGCTATCACGGCGTCAGCTCTCCAAGCGTTCAGAGAAGTCGCCCGGTTAGCGGAGCCCACAGACCCTTGGGCAGATATCACACAGGGGCCATCTGAGTCCTTTGTGGATTTTGCCAATCGCCTCATAAAGGCGGTTGAAGGGTCGGATCTTCCATCTTCAGCACGGGACCCCGTGATTATAGATTGCTTTAGGCAGAAGTCACACCCAGATGTCCAGCAACTTATACGAGCAGCGCCCTCCACATTAACAACACCAGGAGAGATAATTAAATATGTCTTAGATAGACAGAAGACTGCTCCACTCACGGACCAGGGAATAGCTGCGGCCATGTCGTCGGCCATCCAACCTTTAGTCATGGCGATAGTCAACAAGGAAAGGGACGGACAGAGTGGATCAGGTAGTCGCGCCCGGGGCCTTTGTTACTCTTGTGGGTCCCCGGGGCATTACCAGGCGCAATGTCCTAAAGGGGAAGCAGGGCCAGACCAGGCTTGCCAAGCCTGCGGGAGATCAAGTCACACTGTACGCCAATGTCAGAAGTTTGTCATAGTGCCGCAGGGAAACGAGGAAGGGAGGGTGCCTTAGGCCCAGGGCCCCTCCCCCGGAACACCAAATGGGCCAGACAATGCGGCTCTGCCTACCCAAGGTCGGGGTCTCGTACCTCAGTGAGCCCTTCGCCCACAGTGGCATTAACCATGGGAGAGCACCCCTTGGGCAGGATCATGCTTACTTGTGCGGGGAGCGTACTTTCTTGCAGGTCCCCTGAGGAAGAGAACACCGTAAATATGCCCTCAGCTATAGCGACTAACATCTCATCAGCACCTTCGGCATCCCACTTCACCCCCCCCTCGACTTCAGCTTCGCATAAACAAGTAGAAGAAGGCATTCAACTGTCTGCGCTTTTGTCTTGCAAAACGGCTAAAGTGCAGGAATGCAAGGTCGTTGAAACCCCTCAGCCGTATCCACGACAACCGCTGTATCCTTCTCATTGTAATCTAATACCACCTGCGGGGGCAGGGGGAGAAGTTAGCTGGGATGGGACACTTACTGTCTCCTCTCAGGAGGTGGAATGCAGTAACACTCAGGGGGGTGGGAACTACGGTCAAGGCTCGGGTATGGATTGGTCAAAAGTTAAGGAGGCGGTAGAAGAAAAAACAGCAGAGAGAAAGGGAAGAGATGTAACTTACAGGTGCTTGGATGATAGTGTACGGCTAGCACTGTCCACCCTGACTGCACCTGAAGGTGTAGGTGGTGTCCGGCCGGCACCCTCTGCTGAGGCTACACCCGCCGGAGAAAGAAATAACGATAGTCTGTGGACCCACTCTTTGCCACAGTGTTCAGACCCATTGACTCGACCCACATATCCTTTTACAAGATCGAGTGTGCATGCAACCAATCAGAAGCCTCTACAACAATCAGTGCATGGTCAAAGGGAGATGGGCACAGTGGGAGCAGTGCGGAGCCCTCAGGTTCCAGCTGTGTCTGAAAAGGATAGCAAAAGGAGAGAGGTGAATTCGCATTTGGGAGTTAAGAGAGATGCACTAACAGAGTGTGGGAAGTTTAGATCTAGCCTGATAAAGGAAGGAAGAGCACTAGAGACCTTCCCGATAGTAGGGAATGATAACAGAGACCCGGAAGGGGTACTTCTTGATCTGAAAGGCATCACACACCTGATAGATTGTGCAGAGAAACGGGAATTGAAATCACTCCTCGCTTTAAATGCATTAGAAGTCCTGACAGCATCAGGCCTTCTCTTTCAGCATGTAACAAATTTGATGTGCATGGTGCTTAAGCCAGTGCAGTATGCACTGTGGGCATCAGAATGGGTTCCCTTCATGGACAGGTGGCCAGATTGAGGCCTGGAGAACAAGCAATTCCATATGGTTGGTTTGTGAGAGCAATGCTCTCAAGGCTTGAGACATCTGCCTTGATATTGAACAAATGTTTGTTATTTTTGAGGTACATTCCAACAGGTACCTGAGACAATGTAGGTATATATTGGGCATAGATAGTGCCACTAGAGCTATCAGCAATCACTCTAATCTCTAATCTCTCTGTCTATAACTTTACTAGTATTGTAGGAAGTGGCTTTAATTATTAAGTGTCGGCGACATCACATTAGTTTTTGCAGGATAATTACGTGGTGATTAAAGACCTATCACGTACTCCAAGTGGGATGAATCTCGCTTTGGCTTACCAAGGAAGGAACTTGGTAAGGAAGCTTTTGCAACATGATGACCTGCACCAATTGTTGAAACGCGTCAGAGACAATGGACAGAAAACCTTGATCACCGTTCACCACGACACAGAAGAGATACATCGTGTCCTAGAGAGAGGAAAGAAGGACGGAGAACACCACTGGTGGGAAGCGCTAAGATGAATGAATGAGCATCGTCTAAGAATGCAATATATAGCTTTATGTAGAACTCACGCTTAAGACATTAGGATTTTTATATTAATAGGTCATAGGGTTATTAGAGTAGAATTATTTGGCGCATTACAATGTAACGGGGCAAGGCTTAACTGAGAGGACAATGGCATGTATAGGCACAAAGCGGGGATTTCGGGCTGTACGCGATTAGGGTCCTCTCAGGATGTAGTAGCTTAGAATGTAGAAGTTACGCTTATGCATTGGGAGGGGGAAATGTTGCCGAACAGGGTCGGCAGGGGCCCCTCGGCCCCTGCGAAACCATGACAACAAATGGCCTGAAGATAAGAAGGAAGAACAAGATAAACCAAATAAGGAGGAAACAGGACATTCCACATGTCCATTGGCCAGGAGACGACCCTGAGGCATTCCACCCTCGGGTAGTTGCTAATAGTAACCAGATAGGGAAGTTGTACGTGGAGTCAGAGGGGCATAGACGAAATTGTACAAGGCTATATAAGTTCCTGTCGTGATCAAATAAACGCCATTTTACCATACATCACATTGGTGTGCACCGAGGTAAATGGACAGACCGATGAGTCCCTAACGATTGCGAACACCTGTATGAGGTCTTTCGCAGGCGAAAGGCTTCAATGGGGCATCCACAGCCTCCTTGGGCAGCCTGCCCGAGTTGTGGGCAGAGATTGGCTTGGTAGAGTAAGAGCTACGGTATCTGTACCTATGAGTTAACACAGAAGAAATGCTTTGGGGCTTTTTTTGGCCTATCTCTTCATGAGATTCACTTCTCATAGTCTCAACACCCCTGTCACAAGATGATCTACTGCGTCCAGTTCTGGGCTCCCCAGTACAAATAAGACAGGGATCTCTTGGAAAGAGTCCAGCGGAGGGCCACGAAGATGGTGAAGGGCCTGGAGCATCTCTGCTATGAGGAAAGGCTGAGTGAACTGGGTCTGTTCAGCCTTGAGAAAAGAAGACTGAGAGGGGACCTGATCCAGGTCTATAAATAGCTAAGGTGTGGGGGGCAGAATGGTGAGGCCAGACTGTTTTCAGTGGTGAGTGGAGACAGGACAAGGGGAAACGGCTGGAAACTGCAGCATAGGAAGTTCCGCACAAACATGCGCAAGAACTTCTTTACAGTGAGGTGACGGAGCACTGGAACAGGCTGCCCAGGGAGGTGGTGGAGTCTCCTTCTCTGCAGATGTTCAAGACCTGCCTGGATGCCTACCTGTGCGACCTGGTGTAGGGAACCTGCTTTGGCAGGGGGGTTGGACTCGATGATCTCTGGAGGTCCCTTAAAACCCCTACAATTCTGTGATTCTGTGATCTTTATACCTGTCAGAAGAAAGCCATCTCGAGCTGATGGAAAAAAGCTGGTAGCAATTGGACAGATGCATGCAATGAATACAGGGATGGTTCGGAACGATTAACAGAGCAATGCAAAGCAGCTGAGCAACTTTCAGAAAAAAAACAGTAGCAACAGCTTCCATACCCGGCCTCACCATTCTGAGATCCCATCTGGTTCACCCAGCACTTGTAAATATCCACTGGATCCGTTCTGACGTTGAGCGATTCGCCCTCAATTATTTCCTTCACAACTGGGGCCAAGATCTGCCTCAGTGCGTTCTGACCACGGGCACCACGGTTGAAAGAGCGCATCTCAAAAATACAGAGGAAACAAAGGGACTTCTACACAGGCACAACTATTTCCTCTCAGTATTTCAACAAGTAAGCAATCAGCAACAAGAGCCATTCACAGCATGCCGCTATGGGAAATCCAGCAGCAGAGAATAAAGCATAGACATGCACTTTCCTGAACTACTGCTCCAAGAAAAGATAATAATAATTAAACAAACCTTTTAGGCGTTACCTGTTGGAGGGCACATACCATCCTCACACTTAAAAACATCAAAAAAGGCATGACTGCCTCCAACATTACATGTATTTGCTATTCCTAGCAAGTTGTGAAGCTCCGTATCAGCCAGAAGTCATAAACACCAAACTCCTAAGTGCCAATCAACTCAATTATGCCGACAGACAGCCAGAATCCTTAAGCCTGACAGCCAGGAAAAAACCCAAACCAGACAGCATCTGATTTTCAGCCTCCTCATCAGTTTTGGAAAACAGTGACCTTCGCGTCAGCTTCACTCTGGCCGGTAAAGCCCAAGCTCGCAGTCTGTGCCAAGTCCTTCTTACTAGACAGCAGAGAACTTAGATGGGAATGAATCTTAGGAAAGCACTGCAGTAGATCAAAAACAGTGCCTCCCTGAGCAAGAAAGCACTGGCTAAAGAAAAATGGCTTTAATCCTAAAGAACAAAGGTAATTCCTCCTCCTTCCAGGTTACAGAAAGGACTGACGTGAAACAGCATGAGCAGAAGGCAGGGACAGTTCAGCATTATCAGCTAATGAGCACGGGACATCACACAACAACAGCTGCAATTTTAGCAGCGGCCCAAACTCAGGCAACAGCAAGGCTGTGTCCTACGCTACAACGTACTTGATCTCTTCCTGCAATGCTGTTTGCAACAGCCGCAACAGCAGAGATTCCTCTCTCTGACTGGATGCGTAGTTATGCAGCGTGAAGATGGCTGAATCCATGAACTCTGTGGGGTTGTTTTGAGGCATCTGCAAAAGCAGCTTGGCCAAGTACGTTGGAGTAGTCTAAAACAAGAAGAAAAAGTACTTAGTGCACGTGTATAATCAATGACTATGAAGATGTTGTCATTATGAAATAAACAAGAGAGTTTGACAAAGCAGACTAAGCTAACAAAAGGAGAATAAATAGAAGGCTTACCCCTATCCTGGGCTCACTTACAAAACTCCAGCAGAGCAGATCTGCAGACGAGATCCTTCCCCACTGGCAGCCAGCTCTTAAACAGGTCTAGGAGGGCTGTAGCCTGGCTGCACCCCTTCCAGCAGCACAGCTGCATTGCCTTCACCTGTGCTCCTCTGCCTGACTCACTGCTCACCTCAGGTGATCAATCAGAGGTTCAGGCCATGACTCAGCAGTTCCCATACAGCACGTGTCCACAAAAGCCAACACCACAAAGACAGACAGCGCCTCAACACTGCAGTGCAGAAGCACAGACTGTTCCAATACACGTAAGCATCTATGACAAGAGCAGTGAATGAAAAGCTGCATACCTCAAGTAGAAAAGATGCTGATAGGCTTCCAGCTTTTCCCTCTCCTCTTTGCTCAAAGCTTGCAAACCTCCCTTTTGCTCGTTCAGCGTCATCACGTCACAGAGCTGTTCCTTGTTCTCCTTGCTAAGATTTTTGCTATGAGAAACAACATCCTGCAAAGAACACAGAGGGACAGATTCCACATTTAAATAACACGCAATATGGGAAAAAGCTGCACGATAGCACTTCCTTTTGGGTGGATAAGGCAGTCAAGGTACATCAGGAGATCATGAAGTGAAACATTATCTGTTGTAGCAGCGATTTCTGTCTTGTCCCCACATTCCAGAATTGGGTGAGAACCTACAAGGACTAATTGCTTTGAGCAGGGACTACTGTCACAGCTGGTAGCGTTCTGAAGATGCTTGAAAATGCCTTTCTTTCTCAACTGTGCTTGAAGCCCCAAGCCCTGTTTCCATTTTGCTGACTCCCTGCCTCCACTGCTCTGATAACTATGATACTTTTTGCTGCCAGCATCAGCCCAAGAGCTGGAGCCTCCTTTGGAACTGAACTTCACTGCTGCCATGGTTCAGATTTTACACAAGGTCAAGCCTAGCGCCACGCTATTCAGGACCAAAGGAAAAGGTGACTGTAACTTCAGCTTGAGTTAAAAAAAGGCACCGCTGTATCAGCAACGTTGTTCTTGTGTGCAATCAATCGTCAGCAACGTGACAGAGGGGGCTTCCATCAGCCAACCAACACCAAGCAGTCTGAGCACATTTCCTGCTCCAAAATCACCTCCCCCTTCTGATACAGCACACAAAACGTGAGAAGAAATTAAGGTGTGCAAGTCCATGACTCACGTAACCACAAGTGAAGAGACAAACAGTTCTCAGAGCCTTCAAGCATACCATCTATTGCTTTCCCTTGGTCCCCAGTGGGTTTTTTTCTGGTGCTTTGTTTTTAAAACACTTGAAGCCTTGATGTTTCTGCTGCAGTTCTCTTTCTAGGGATACATAGTAATAAGTGGAACAGTTAGGAACTTACTGGGAGGAAAACCTGTAACTCGGGGGGAAATACTTCCCACTGCATCTGAGTAAGTGAGATCCAGGCTCAGAAGGTCCTCATGCTAACTGCCATTGGCCTCAATTCACTCTGCTCGTCTCCCAGCACTGCATTTCCTACCTGCAGTGTCATTCTGTTCTTCACTAGCAGTCCAATCTTGAGGTCCATGAGATTGAGGTCATTTTCAAGCTGTTGATTAGATCGGATCAAGGTCACAGCTTCCTCACACAGTTTCATTAGCTCCAGCTCCTCCTGAAAATCTGGGTCCGATCGAGCAAGTGAACCAATTTCCCAACCACAGCCGTAGGTGGGTTTTCAGCATTAACTAAAAACAAGAGACAAAACAGCAGAGGACAGGAAACAAATTAATGCATGTGTTACCTCTGTGCAGACAGCATGTCAAGCAGCAGCCAGTCCAGGATCAAATTAACACCAATGGGCTTGAATAACTCCTGACAGCATCCGGAACTTCTGGCATGGAATAAATCACGACAGAAGTCAACGCTATAGGATGAAGTCAGTATCAGCTTAGGGGAGTCCACCTTGCTGAACTTACCCCAAAGATCAGCGCTCCTATTTCCCAGCAGCAAAAGTACTACCGTGAACCAACTTTGCACAGAGTCACAGAATGTCAGGAATTGGAAGGGACCTCCAAAGATCACCTCGTCCAATCCCCCTGCTGGGGCAGGATCACCTAGATTAGGGCACACAGGAACATGTCCAGGTAGCTGCTGAATGTCTCCACAGGAGATCCCACAACCTCTTTGGGCAGCCCATCCCAGTGTTCTGTTACCCTTGCCGTGAAGAAGTTGTTCCTCTTATTTATGTGGGACCCCCTATGCTCCAGCTTGCACACATTGCCCCTTGTCCTATCACTGGATGTCACTGAGAAGAGCTTGCCTTCATCCTCCTCACGCTCACTATTCACACATTTATAAACATCAACGAGGTCACCCCTCAGTCTCCTCCAAGCTAAAGAGACCCAGCTTTCTCAGCCTTTCCTCACAGGGAGATGCTCCACTCATCAGGGCAGAGTAGAGGGGAAAGAGCACCTCTCCACCTCCTGTCCGTACTCTTTCTCGTACACCCCACGATGCCCTCTTGGCCACGAGAGCACAGTGCTGGCTCATGCTCCTCCTACCGCCCACCAGGATCCCCTGATCCCTTTCTCCTACGCTGCTCTCCAAGAGCTCAGCCCCCAACCTATACTGGTACTCAGGTTGCTCTTGCCCAGATGCAAGACTCCACACCTGCCCTTGTTCTTTCTCATTCCGTTTCTCCCCACCCAACTCTCCAGGTCTCGCTGGAAGGCAGCACAGCCTTTTGCTGTGTCAGCCACTCTGCCCAGTTTTGTGTCAGCCGGGAGAAATGAGGGCTTCAACTTGGATCAGCTCCTTCTTTCCATCACTGTTGTTATGCGGCAGGCTGTCAGCTGAACCGCAGCCATTTGTGCCTCCCAACAGCTCTCCATTGGTGGAAGCACACAGCCCAGCATCACTACATGCTCTGGCTCTGCTCGGTTGACAAGAGCACGAATCACCTATAAAAGAATGAACAGGGGTTGGTCCCAGGCTGAATTACAAAAGTGGTTCTTGATCAGGGGAGAACTGAAGGTGTCAGGTATGGGCTGGAACGCTAGAAGGGCAATCAAGCCCAGTGACAGCATGCATTCTATGTTGCTGGAAAGCAGAGCTTTGGAAGCAGGATTTGCACTCTTACCTGCCAGCACTACGACTTGCATTTCTGCAGGCTCCCTGGCATTGCACTGCAGTTGGCGTTTGGCCACAGAAGATGGTTTTCCCAGGCTGAAACAGGAACACCAACAGCCAGCTGCTGATTCCTTCAAGGAATGGACGCTGCCGGAGGAGAGAGGTGCTAGGGAGCAGCCAAGGCATCACAGTGCATCCAAAAGCCCTGAAAGGCATCACAAAGCCACCGCCAGGAAGCTTGGGGTCACCACGAGCAGAATCCAGGATGCTAGAGATTATTTGCTACCGTACCAACTGGGACCTGCAGACATCCCAAAGCCAGACAGAATGGGAAATAACCCAGAGCTCTGCTTCGTGCACCCTGCAGCCTCAGCGTTGCCAGCAGAGGTGCCTTGCTGTGTGCCGCATTCATCCCAGTCCTCGTGAATGAAGACTCCACAGGCACTCAAGGCGTTGAGTGAGTATAAGTGCGCTTTTATTATTAAAGGAAAACACAGGAGGGCGTGAGAGGTCCAGGTAAAGATGGAAATCGTCCTCTCTTGGATGGAAAGATCACGTAGAGAGTGGCTCAGAGCTCTCAGAGATGCTGCACGGTGCCTGGGACTGGAGGCCTGATTGTACGCCCCCCTCCAAGAGGCTCTGCTGCTCCTCCTCGCTGATGCTGACCTGCTCCTGCACAGAGGTGTTGCTGTCGGGGCACTCGGATTGTACTTGGGCTGGGCTGCACTGCAAAGGTGCCGGGTCACAGTCCAGGCTGGTGACTGCGGTGCCTGGTGGGCACAGGTCAGCATCTTCAGCACAGCCAGGAGAAATGAGGGCTTCAACTTGGATGAGCTCCCTCTCTCCATCACTGTTGCTACGTGCAAGGCTGTCACGTGATCCGCAGCCATTTGTGCTTCCCAAGAGCTCTCCATTGGTGGAAGCACACAGCCCAGCTTCGCTACTTTCTCCGGCTCTTCTGGGTGGACAAGGGCTCAGTTCATCTAGGAAGGATACACAGGGGTTAGTGCCAAACTTTCACAAGCTGAATTACAAAAGGGGTTCTTGATCAGGGGAGAACTAAAGGTGTTAGGTATGGGTTGGAACGCTGGAAGTAGATACAAGCCCACTGACAGCAAGAATTCTATGTTGCTGAAAAGCAAGGCGTTGAAAGCTGGATTTGCACCCTTACCTGCCAGCACTACGATTTCTATTTCCGAGGGCTCCCTGGGATGGTGCTGTGGCTGGCGTTTGGCCCCAGACGATGGTTTCCCCAGGCTGAAGCAGGAACACCAACAGCCAGCTGGTGATTCCTTTATCTTGCTGGGTGGACTTGGTCTGGAGAGAGAAAACAGGGAATGGTGGGAGTCGTGCGTGGCGCAGGGTGAGGGAAGAGCTGCACTGAGCTCGTGCCAACAGTTGCTTGTTCCTAGCACCGCCTGGTTCCTGCTGAAACACAGCTTAGAAACTCGCTCCATTTCAAGCAGTTGAGGATGGTTCCATTCCTATAGCTCAGCCCTGAAGTCTTGCTGGCTAAATTCCCCTCAACTGTGTCAAGCAAGATGCAGAGCATGTGAGGTCCACAGGCTCCACACCTGTACAGGACAGCATCAAAGGGTGGCTTTGATTGAGTAGGCAGGCATAACTGCTGGCTGCGCAATTGCACAGCCATAAAGGAACTTCAAAAGCATCTCTGACTCTGACACTGACAGCTCATCAGCCCATTTCACTGCCATGTCTAGTTTCTAGTGTCAGCAGGTCTGACCAACAGCTCTGCGTAGAGGAGAACCAGAACTGGATTCAGGCACGAGGCTCTGAAATCTGGAAAACCCCAACCTTTCCAGGTACAGCCAGCACAGGCCAGGGTAGACGTCAGCGTGGCTTTGTGCATCTCGTCACTGCCTGCCCAGCAAGGAAGGAACGGCACCGTTGTGAGGCTAAACTGAGCCCGGCGGGCAACTCAATGTTAGTTGAATCTCACAGTCCAAAGGGAGGGGAGATTCACTGCAACACTTCAGGCACCATTCATTAAATCTAATTTCCACAAGTTTAGGCACTAGAAATAATGGAGACAGAACAAACACAACCCACCCAAACAGTGATGATAGCTGCTGGAAAACAAAGTCCTCTTTACCTTTCAGGTGGAAAGTCGATGACTGTGTGGAATTTCCCCCGTACAGCTGTGGGGCCTTCTTCCACCTCTATGTCACTGCTCTCTGTCACAACGACAGGAGAGCTGCTGTGGCCTCGCCTCCGTGCCTGCGCCTCCTCCAGGCTGAGCAGCTCTGTGGCAGGGTAAGAGGTCCGCACAGACTGGGGCCCTGAGAGAGAACTGTGCCCTGGAAGGGAAAACCACAGGTGAGAGCCAGGATCAGAAAGCGGCAGCACAGCCATCCCAGGTCCGGGGGAGCTGCTGTGTTTTCCTCAGACTTGCTTAACCGAGCCACTGGAAGAAGAGCAGCTCAAAACAACCATGTGCTCAGAGGTGTGTCTATGGCAAAGGACGCAGTCATCATTAAGAGCAGCTCCCTGTATCAAAACAGGCAAACAAAAACCCTAGAAAATGGGGGCAGGGAACTGAGAAAGCTCCGCTGCCACACGTTAATCAAGCTTCACCTGCTTGCAAAACATCATAATGACAGTGATGGTTTTTTCTCCTTGTCAAGTTTGGGCTTGCACATTCTCAGCATCCAGCAACTGGACGCCAGATTCCAATCTAAGCCCAGAAGTCTGCTGTTCCCTCGACAGGAAAAGTGTATTTCAAAGGACTTGGAAAAGGCCTGCATTTGATCCAGGTGTCTGACCAAGACAAAGCTAATGGAGGAAGACACTCACCTGCTCCATCTGCAATGTCCGATCCGGATGTGGAGCAGAAGAGGACGTCTGTGTGGTCGATGATGAATTCCACCACAGCCGACTGCGTCTGCAGTTCCGTGCAGGCAGCTCTCCCGCTGGCGCAGGCAGACTCGCTCTGCTGTGATCTGTAGAAAAGGCAGGTTTTAGAAGTCATTCAGCCAAGATCGCCTCCCCAGGTCTGAATTACTGCAGCCCAAAGCTGTCACATTTGTTCTCAGGAGACTTCCGCAGTGGGCATATAAGAGATGCCACTGAAGAAGTTCTCCTGGCTGATCAAGGACACACCAGTCCCATCTAAACAAGAGAGCAGCAATGCTCAGCTAGAAATTGTGCCCACGCGGGGTTGGAGAACAGTCCAGGCTCCTGCTCTGCTGTCAGCCACTCACTGCACATTTTACAGGAGAAGAGCACATGTGGTGCAGAAGAAGGGAGGACTGCTTTATTCTACTGGAGAACAGATGTAAGCGTTCTGTTGAAACGGAAAAAGAAGTTTACCTTAGGAGGTTTGGAGCCCACACAATGGCTAAGTTCTTAGAGTGCATGTTGGTGACAGAGCTGTTTGCAGCAAGACAGGCCAAGTGTCTCATCAGGAACACCAGGGTCCTGGGAAACAAGAGAGGCAAATGTTCAGCACCAGCCAGCATGCCGTGCTGCCACTCACAAAGCAAACCTCAATTCACACTAGTTGTTATTACTGCTACTGATGCTGAAGATGAAGTAGATCCAACTTGACCAAGTGCCACGCTGCAGCACCCAGCACCAGCACAGCACAGCCACAGCCATCAGCTGCACCAAGCCTACCCCCGTGCCCAGGAACTGACCCAATAAATT